GGTCTGTTGTTCATAGAGTCGCTATGAGACATATTTGACTCGACAGCACCTAACAACAAGACAGAAATGTCTCTTCTAGGGCTCTGCCAGAGCCTAGGGCAAATCCTTGGAACAGGGCAAGTAGTCACTGGGTAACATCTATTAACCATCACCTCTGTGGGACAGGCACCTCCAAGGAGCTTGACCATGGGGGAGACTCCTTCAGTCCCCTCCTCATAAGACAGAGGCCCAGGGCAGCTCACACTATAATGCGGTTCAAGGAGAAGGACATCATCCACAAAGAAGCCAAAGGAGAGAGGAACTGGGTGTGCCCCAAAGGCACTTTTGATAAAGTAGAGGGTCTTTGCTATAAAATTCTCCTGACTCATGCCTGCTCCTTGGCTTTCTGAACCATTCAGTTTCTGGCTTCTAAAAGGAATCTGTGTAATCTAACTCCAGCAACAGGACAACAAAAAAAAAATGTTAACAAGGATGTGGAGATTGGAACCCTCACGCATTGCTGGTAAGAATGTAAAATGACATAACCACTATGGAAGGCAGTCTGGTGTTTCCTTAAAAAAGTCAAAGATAAAAATACAATTTGATTGAGGTACTCCACTACTGGCATATACACCTTAGAGAAATCAGAGCTGTAGCACAAACAGATGTAGGCACATCTGTGTTTATTGCATTGTTGTTCACAATAACAAAGAGATAGAAACAGCCCAAGTTCTCATCAGCAAACAAATGGATAGACAAACTGTGGAACATCTACACAATGGAGTATTATACAGCAGTGAAAAACAGTGAACTCATGAAACACTGCACAATACGGATGGATCTAGAGGACACTACGCTGAGCGAAATCAGTCACAAAAGGATAAATACTAAGGAGGTCTGGTGGCCTAGTGGCAAGAAGTTGCACTGCAATCCCAGAGGTCCACGGTTCAAATCCACCAGATGCTCTGCTGGAGAAGGAGGGGCAATTGCCTCCTGTACCAGTCAGATCCAATTTGACAGTACACACACACAAAATATTAAGATAAAATAAATAAAAGAAAATAATTTAAAAAGGACAAATACTGCATAAGATAATTATTAGAGGAGTGGTGGGGAGAACAGAACACTGAAGAGGTGAAGGGAAGGTCAATCTGAAATGAATGGATGATCAGCCATTATGTGTATTGCAATTAATAATCTGGAACAGGGCATGTATCTATAACTGATAGGACGGTGGGAGAAAGACTAAGGACAGGTTTACAATTGTGGAGGGTTAACAGGAATGGGAAGGGAAAGTAAGCAAATGGATGGGCAGGGTGAAAAGGTACAGTAAGGTTACAGTAAGACCATGGAAATCAAAGCACTGTACAGTTGTAATTGATGTTATAAGACAAACTGTATGAGTGATTGAAAAGTAATTTTAAAAAAGAAAATGTATAGAAAATGGGGTGAAAGGCAGAGATAGAGATAAAAGAATTACAAAAGATAGGATTAGATGATGGGGGGTTTATTGTACATTTGCTTGAGAATTTTTCCATAATGAAAGTAGATTTTGTTGTTTGCTTTTATGTTGAATACTCAAAACTAAAAAACTCAAGCTGATTGCTGTTGAGTCAGAACTGACTCATAGCTAACCCTCCATTGCATTTTGAGAGACTAGAAATCTCACAGGAGGAAATAAATTACAAAAAGATCCAAAATTTTGTAGTCAAGACTTCCCTGGGTTAGGCTATCTCCCTAATCTTTGACTGGAAGTCCCCTCCACCCAAGGGCATCCATCAAGGAAACAACGTGAGGTATGGGTCGGTCTGGTGTTGACGGGTCACCAAGCAGGCTCTTCTAGTGTTTCCCAGGACAAAAGTTGGGGAGGGGCTTGTGTTTTCAGAAAATGGTAATAACATCAGCAGGAAAAAGGAGGTGGAGAGGAGTTACATGCAGGTACCTTTGCAGCAGCAAGGGGGCCGTGGTGGTTCTGTTACAAAAGCCCTGCCTTCCACATGGGAGACTGGGTTCAATGCGCCTTTATGGGCACCCACCACCTGTCTGTCTCAGTGGAGGCTCTTATGTTGTTTTTTGGTTTCACGTTTGGATGGGTGTTTTTGTTTGTTTCCAGAAATGAACAAGCGTTTGCTGTATGGTCTGAAAGGAACATCAAGTGACCACGTGCGGAGAAGGTCAAAATGACCTCACATGCTTTTGTTTTTTTATTTTTTTTTATTTTTTTTAAGTTTTTATTTAATTATTTTCTGTGTGTGTGTGTACCGTCAAATTGGATCTGACTGGTACAGGAGGAGATGGCCCCTCCTTCTCCGGCAGAGCATCTGGTGGATTCGAACAGCATATCTCTGGGATTGCAGTGCAGCTTCTTGCCACTAGGCCACCAGAGCTCCCTTCACATGTTGTTTTGATGACGAACATGCTCCAGTGGAGTTTATAGACTAAGACAGGCTAGGAAGAAAGACCAAGTGATCAACTTTATAAAATCAGGCAGTGAGTGAAGCCCTCTGGATCCCAGTGGTCAATGGCAATCATCTGATGACACCAGAGCAAGCAGTGTTTTGTTCTACTGTGTGTGAAGTCACCCTAAGTAGGCATCAACTTGAAGGCAGTTAACAAGAACCATCTTTGTAATATGTGATCCTAAGTCCTTGAGTATGGAGGGCTGACCCACCACTACTGGAAAGGTCCCTCTTCTCTTCCTTAGATTCTAGCCTCCACAGCACCCTGGCCAGGTCAATCTACTCCATGTATCTCCTGCAGTTCAAAGTCATATTAAATGAAAGACCCTTCATAACTTGCCATCACTCATCCTACACCATCTCCTGGCCAATTCCCACACATCCCTTAAGCCATCATTACAGCGGTCCCAAGTGACAGCAGCTGAAGTAGAGGTGCTACGAAATGCAGGCAAAGTCTCTCCACATCGGCTACACCCTTAACCCAAAGCTAACTCCCACAATAACTGGTCACTCTACCTGAAATTCAACTCGTGTGTCATCTGAGCATCATTCTTTGGAGCTACTGCTTTCATGAGGTACTTTGTTTTCAAAGTTACCTGGAGACACCACCACACCAAAACTAGTACCTGTGCATGAATTGTTCACTGAGCTGCTTGACATGGGCACCTGGAGGCTGGAGAGGGGGGCAGGAGTTAGGACAGAGGGCTGGGTCGGGCAGAACCATTCTCAGTTTCAGGATGCAGGTTGTTGAGTTTGGATTGATAGATTGAGAGAGGTCCAGAGGCAGAGGCTATGAGGTCACTGAGAACCCCCAGGGCAGTGCAGGGGAAGGCTGTAGCAGCCAAAGTGGGGTGCGACACAGCCCAGTTAGGGCAGACAGGTTGGGGATGGCTGTAGTCAACTCCTGATAGTTCTCAGGGGTCTAGTTCCCACTTTTTGCAAAGAACAGTAATGGAGGCAGGTTCTAAATTCTGTGTGTGTGCACCCCTCCCACAGTCATGGATACCCAGAGGAAACCCACAAGGATTCCCCAGTTCACTGCTGATGTTTCTGGTATGAACAAAGCTAAGGTGTATAAGCTGGAGTGGAGGTAGCAAGAACCACCTGGCTTGGGGGTTGGGTGGGGAGAATCCAGCAGAGTGGAAACATCTCCCTCCCCACAAGTTTTCCAACACACGTGTGTTACAGTAAGAAGGAAATGTAAAGTGGAGGTAGAAAGACCTGAGTCGGCCAGCAGAAGTGCGGTCAGGGCTCTAGGTCCTCCACACATACATGTGACAATAACATTGATTCCACCTGAGTAAATGCCAGGCACCAATCTAAGCTTTACACAGAACTCATTTAATCTTCATAGCACTATGACGTGTATACACACACATATACACACCAGCCAAAACCAACCCACAGCCATTGAGTTTATTATGACTCTTTAGGGACCCTCCCTCAGGCTTCCAGGGCTGTGAATTTTTACAGGAGACTGCCTGTCTTTCTCCCTTAGAGCAGCTGGTGGATTCAAGCCACTGACCATTTCAGTTAGTAGCATAACATGTAAAGTACACCTCTAGGGCTCCTTACACACACATACACACACACACACACACACACTATTTAACCCATTTTACAAGTGAGAAAACTAAGGCACAGAACAGTTAACACCTTGCTCAAGATCAAAATTAGTAGAGGTAAAGCAAGATGAAGTCCAGGCTGCCCTAACTGTGACATTGCTCCCTTATCCATGAAGTGTGCATCCTTCCCCACACGCCTTCACCTCCACTAAGCTGGTAGGAAGAGGTGACCACTCTCTCCAGATCACATGCTTAACAGTGTGTGCTTCAATCTCCAAAGAACCCAGGGAAGGATGAACTACTCATTGTGCACACCAGGAAGCAGAAACAAAGTTGGAGAATGTACCAGGGCCACATAGACCAGGAAAGCGCAGAACTGACATCCAGACCCTTGCACCACCAAGCATCCCCTCCCCAACTAGTGCAGGGAGCAAAAGAGAATAATGGAGACCAGAAGGCAGGAATGGAGGCAGCGGCAGAAGGGTTAGGTAGCAGGATATGGAAGTGTGATCCAGAGATGCAAGGAGGTAGTCCTCAGGTCTGGAGAGCATGGCCTTTACGGTTCCAGGGAAACTGTACCTCTTTAGGTGGTTTGGTGGGGACCAGGAAGTTCAGGGGACCCTAAACAGCCCAATGACTGGAGATCGGCTACTCTGGCCCTCACACTCATTCCAGGGCACAGCCTCCAGCCCCCTGGGGTCCTCATTCCATATACCTGCCCTCAACCTCTTGGTTGCTGGGGAGAAAGACAGTCTAGGGTGCAAGGGGCAGTCTGGGGGACCCAAAAAGCCAAGGAAGGTGTGAGACCTGCACTGGGTACCAGCTGGGAAGGACATGCTACCTCTAGCCCACAAAGCCTCTCCTTTCCTTCAGACGTCATCCTCACCAGCCTGAGAACAGGACAAGGGCCCAGACAGCCCTGCTCTGGAGAAGGGACCAGTGCACTGAGGGGAAGGAGGCAGAGGCGAGGGGGCCAGTTCACTACGATGAAGGAATTTCATTGGGGCAGGCGCCGCCGGTACAGCGACAGGAGTGCGGCCAGGAGCACCCCAGCTGTGGCAACTGTGAACCCCAGCTTCCAGAAGGACAATCTGTTGTACTGCACCTCAGTCTCCAGCACCTCCTGTACTGGGGGCTCCAAGGGGGCAGGCGATCTGGGGTTGCCATCCAGGAGGTCAGCACTGGGGTCTTCAGCTGTGTGGATTTCAAAGGAGCTCACAGACCTGGACACATACTCATCCTCTTCTGGGACTTGGACGGGCCCCCCTTGCAGGGAGTCACTACGGCTGATGGCTAGGTCCTCAGAGGAGATCGAGAAAGGCTGGCTGTCCACCCGGGATACCAGCACCCCTGGCTTACTCAGTTCTGACACTGTGGCCAAGTCTTCGGTTCTGTTGTCTGACGAAGGAGCATGACCTCTCGGGCCTGCAGGTGCAAGAACCTCTGTAGTTTCCTACAGAAGGGCAAGAAGGAAAAAAAAAGCTATAGAGACAAGGAGTGGCCAGACACCAAGAGGGAAGAGCATTCCGGCTGCCAGATCAGGGCATGAACCAGCACTCTAACCTCCTAGCCCCAGCCCACAATGCTTCTGAGGCCATTAGTTCTTGGGGTCTAGAACGACTGGTGTTACAGGAAGCAGTGGGAAAGGAATGGATCAAACCCATTCAGCTGTCCTTGGAGGGGTGGCTTCCTCTGCAGGGTCTAGGGCCTGGCCTGGGAAGCTGCACAGACTTGTTCTCCCAGGCAGACAGTGGCAGTGGGGCTAGGGGCAAGAATTGGCCAACGATGCGGGGACTGCTGTCCATTAAGCCCTGGTTGTGGAGGTGCAGGACAGACAGCCTAATGGTGAAGAACCAGAATCAAGGTGGGCAGATCACCCACTTTACTTGGCTGCTCTCAAGTCACCTTGGCTTTCTCATCTGTGAAATGAGACTGCTAAACTCAATGGGGAGCTCTCATGGCCTGGTGGTAAAGGGCCACATCGCCAACCTGAAGGCACGTGGTTTGAATCTACCAGCTGCTCTAGGGGAGAAAGATGAACAATCTCCTCCTAGTCAATTTACAGCTTCTGAAAACCCACTGGAGGGTTAGTTATGAGTCAGTTCTGATTCAATGGAATGTAGTAACAGCAACAACAATAATAAACTTCACAGGGAGCTGTGTGAATTAGTGCATATGAAAGGTGGGGTGCCCACCACACCAGTCACCCATGAGGTGTCTACACTTGGGAGTTCTGATCCTATTGGCTTTCCTGGAGAATATGGTGTAGGGTCTAGATGAGGCTGGTTCTTCACTTTTGCTCAAGGTGAGGCCCTCGCCCAACCCAGGCTGTGGATTAGGGAAAAGATTCAAAGACAGGGTCAGGAGCAGGTTTTCCTAGAAGGAGGGGCCTGAGATCCTGCTAAGAAGGGTGAGGACTCACCTCTAGTCTATTTCTGGGTACTGCATTAGTGGGCACCTTGTTAGGCCCCAAGCCAGTGGATACTTTTGGTGGCACTGTGCCCGCACACACCGTGGTGACGGGTAACTTGGACGGAGGCACGTTCGGGGGCATTGTACCAGCAGGTTTTACACTGGTGGGCAACTTGGAAGGCAGTGGGTGGGCAGAGGCTGAACCGGCAGGCACTTTGGAGGGCACAGTTTTCACAGGCATCGTAGGCAGCTTGGAGGTTGCTGAGCTGATGGGCACTGAGCTGGCCGGCACTCTGGCGAGTGCTGTGCTGGCGGGCATGGTGCTGGCAGGTCTCACCGTCTCACTGTCACAGGTTGAAACCTCACCCTGGTGACCAGCGCCTCTTGGAGAAGCCAAGCCAAGGGGTATGGAGCTGGAGGAGGTGCCAGAGGGTGAAGCTGACACTGGGGGTCCAGGCAAGCGGCTTGCCCGGGGTGTGGAGCGGGCGAGGGGCTGGAAGGAGACGGATGGAGACACTGGTCCACGGGGTGTTGTCGGACTGGAGACCACGCCTGCAGGTGGCAAGAGAAAAGTCGAAATACAGACCCACAGAATCACTATGTGAAAATCATAATCGCTCTGGCTTTAGAGGACTGGAGAAGGGTCTCTCTGCCCTGAGACATCCAGGCCCCTGGTCAGTCCCCCGCCGGGGGAGAGGTCACCCCTCCCAGGTCTATACACACATCACTGGGCTCTGTCCACCCTCACTCCTTGACCTACACCCAGTTAACCATTCAGCAAGAGTGAAACAGTCTCTCCCTTTGTAGCGTCAGAAGTTAACATCACTGTCAATTATTCCCTCTGCTTTGTCTACTGCCTGCAGCCTCCTTCCCTCTGTGTCTCCCTTTTCTAGCTTCTCAACCTGGTGGCTCTGCCCACTGCCAGTCTTATTCCTCCTCCCAACAGTGGCAGGAGCAACCCCTCAGGCAGACGGCAAGAGGAGGCTCAAACAGACCAGCTCACATCACTCATGGGGAAGCACCCGACTTCTGCAAATATCCTCGGAGACCCACAGGCTTACGTGGGGGATGGGAAAGCAGCAGGGAAAAGGCAACGTCAAGGTCACCTCCTGGAGAAAGGCCTGCCCTGGGGAATCCAGGAGGCAGCAAGTGCAGGTAAGTTTATAAAGGTAACTGTGTCAGGAGCCCCTCCAAGACTCAGTGAGAACACACAGGCCAGGTCCTACTGGGGACAAAGGCCAGTGGTGATTAGGATGTGCTCTTTAACAGACCTTCATAGTGTTAAAGAAGTACCCAGATCCATGGTGTCCAGGACACCAAAAGTTAAGTGTCTTTCATCTCTGTGACCCACGGCAGCGTTTTCTACAAGGTGGGTGCACTGCAATTAGCACTGCAGAGTGCTGATGTGGTAGGTAAAGTGCTGGGGAGACAGGGCCAGCTGCCTCCTGGGAACTAAGAGCTTCTCCTAGCTATCTGGGCACTTAGATAGCTCCTCCCAGTTCACATGCCCTGGGCCTTTCCCAGGGGCAGTGAGGGCCAGCTGTCACCCAGAACAGTCTGAGCAGAAAAGTGCGGAGAGAGGTCAGTCTGGGAGGTCAGGACGGACAACTTCATATTCCTAAGATCTGGTGTCAGCACTCAAGCTTCTGGCTGGTGAAGACCATGTGGAGAAGTTTGAGGAGCTGAGTTTTACTGATTCACTGGGAGTTGAAGACATCTTTGAGGGCTGGGACAAGGCCTAAAGGCTCCTCTGCCCACAGTTGGCACAACCCTATCCCCTTGCCATTGTCCTCCACGACCCAGCAGATCCCTTCGGCAAAGTACACAGGTGACCCTAATTTTCCCCGTCTCACATACTTCGGGCCTGTTGTCAGGAGGGACAAGTCCTTGGACAAAAACATCATTCTGGGAGAGGTGAAGGGTCTGAGAAAGAGAAGAAGACCTTTAACAAGACAGATTGACCCAGTGACTGTGACAATGGGCTCAAACACGTCAGAGCTCTAGAGGACGGCGCTGGATAGGGCGGGCTTCAGATCTGCTGTCGGAAGAGTCACTGTGAGTCACAGTCCACTTATGGGCACCTAACAGCTATTACCCATGCCCATGCCCTGTGACCATTCGTCCTCCCATCCAAGGGTGGCCTGTAACTTGTTGTGGCCCACCCAGGGGACAGGCACGACACTGGATCCATTGTGAGCGCAACTTCTGGACCCTTCATCCTCTTCAGAATTCTGCCATCTGTCAGGAGGGGCTTAACTGCTGAGGATCACATGGGGGAGTCTCAGAGACCCAAGAGGGAATCCCAAGCCCGGAACTGCCTACCTGGGTCAGTCTAACTTTTAACTCACAGAGTCAGAGAAGTGTTTAAGCTATTACATTTCAGAGTTGTTTGTTACACCGCAATGCTGCTCTTGCCTCTGAGGATTCAGGCAGATTCTCTTTATTTCCACTGTTTTTTCCCATCCAAGGAAACCAGAGGGTCCTCTGATCCTCAGCCTCGCTGAGAAGGTTACAGCGGCCCCTGACCTCCTGGGTCTGTGCATACCTGCAGGGTGGGTATTGCCCAGTTCTGAGTCCTGTTCCTGATGTCTGCCGGAGGTCGGAGGGCTGAGGGCTGCCACGTCAGAGGAGGGATCTGGGGGCCCATGTGGCTTCCTCGGGACAGCCCCGGAGCTGGGTGTCTGTGGGGCTTGCTCAGATTTCTGCAAGAGGAAAAATGTGAATAAGGCAGCCCCTTCTTATGAGCTGGCCCAGAATGTGATGTTCCCAAGTCAGCTTCTAAGGACCTCTGCTCATGCCACGGAGTACAGGGACCAAGGTGGCCCTCCCCTCTGCCCTGTCATTGCTGGATCCTGTGCACAAGTGACTTTGTCCTCACTTCATAGAAAACACCATCTATGGGGCTCCCTGTCCATCTGTCTGGCCTTACAGAAAGACTTTCCTCTCTGTGGCCACCGCCAAGACTCCTTTCCTGGGATCGAGGTCTAACGTTTAATGCTTCCAGGACATCCTACTCCCCACTCATCACCTTCCCATAGACTCTGCTGCGTTCCCCCAGATGCGACCTTGCTGGCAGTAAGAAGCCCCGCCATCCACCCCTGGCCCATCACCTGCTCATCACTCTCCTCATCTGGTCATCTCCCATGTGTCTTAACCCAGCTCAACATCTCAGTCGACCATGAAAGATCTCAGAACTCACAGTGGCCAGCTGAAGGCTGGCAGAGGGTCGGAGGTTGCCATGGGGGCGAAAGCCTCGCCAAGGGTCTGGGAGCGGGACTGGGAAGCTCCAAGTGTGGGAGCTCTGGGGTTTCTAAGTAGAGACCAGGCATGATTTGTGGGGAGACAGAGGGCTTCTAGAAGGCTGCACATGTAGAAAGTGGGAAGATAGGAACGACAGAGCAGGTGGCTGGAGGCAGACGGTGAGGACGCACCTCCCCCAGGGACTCTGGTGGCCTGGTGTCCTGGACAGGCGTGGGGTAACTTGACTCATCCTCTCTGTAGCCATTGTAAGGGACACTAGGAACCTCGGCGGGCCCTGGAACCTCAGCAGGTCTTGGGACTTCAGCGGCTCTTGGAACCTCAGCGGGTCTTGGAACCTCAGCGGGTCTTGGAACCTCAGTGGGTCTTGGAACCTCAGCGGGTCTTGGGACCTCAACAGAGACTAACATCGGCTCCAGTGAGGCTCGGGGACGTTTTGGATCCTCTGGAGGATAAAGACACAGAATTTAGAGATCAGAGGGTACACCCAATGATAGGAGAGGCTTAGGTGCCCTGGGTCTATGGCTATCTGCCTGCAAGGTATGAGGAGAGGTGATAAGCATTGTTGAGGCTGAGAAGGACAGGGGAGTGGTGAGAGGACAGAACAGAGAGGTCATGAAGGGAAGGGACAAGAAGAGATATGAGGAACAGGGGTGAGGAAAGCCTCCCAGGTTTCTGCCTCCTGGACTGGTCAGCAGACTCCTCAGGCCAGTATGTGACCTCACCCTGAATGCTGTCTCCTTGTCTCCCACCCCCAGGGCCCCACTGAGCCTCCTGACATGGGATGATTTCACGATTAATTTCCATAAGTGAAGACAAGTATGAGAGGTAAGGAGGGACAAAAAGGGAAAGGTTGAGAGAGAGAAGGGAAGCAAAGAAAGGAGGGTGTGAAGGGCGAGGACGGAGATAAGGCAGGCGGAAGTCAGAGATGGAAGCGTCTCAAGGTTGTAGAACTGACCAGAACCCCATGGGGACTGCAGGGGAAGAGATCCCTCTCGCTGACTTGATTGGCTCAGAATGTTCCAGAAGCATAGCTTCTTTTCTCAAAGTCTCAGATTCCACCTAATCACGTTAAGGGGTGAATGAGCATTCCTGCGGGGTAGAGCTAGAAGACTCTGAAGGAAAGGGAGTGACTACTCATGAGGGAGAAAGAAGAGACAGGAAGGGAGGGAAAGAAATGAGCAGAGAGGGCGGGTGAACCAGGGGAGAAGAGGAAAAGAGAAAGGCTGGGGTCGGGTATATGTGAGGGGAGACCCCACTTGCAGAGAACACTATAGGCACCAAACCCCAGCTGAAGACATAACATGCCTCATCTCGTGGTATCTAACTCAGCCTATAAGGTTGGCACTGCCATCAGCTCCACTTTACAGGTTGGGTGACCAAGGTCAGTCGACAGAGAAAAGCAGGGGCGTGAGGGAAGGGAGGGGAGGCCAAGAGCAGTAGGGAAGGGGTCCCAGGGAGGCCAGGGCAGGACACTCACTGGCTAAGTTGCTCTCATAAACCCTGGTCACTTCTTCAGCAAGATCGGAATGGGCACAGGCCCTCAGCGCCTCAATGAGGCAAACCACCCAGTTTTTCCGCCGCTGGAGGCTGTTGAAGAGGTCCCAGAGGGTGTCCCGGTTTCCTATTCGTGTGTAAGCGGCCCGCAGGCGATCCTGCAAGACAGACCCCAGCACAGCTCAGTCCAGGCCCTTCCCCACTGGGGTCGGGCAGCTGAAGGACTGAGCATTAGAAACAGCAGCGTCTGAAACTGGGTCAGAACCTAGAGTTCAAACCCAAGGACAGGGTGAAGAGAGAAATAGGACAACAATACACAGAAATAGCACAACAATAGAGGGAAAAGCTTCTAACTGTGTCCTAGGTTCCCTGTTAAAGAGATAATTATGAAATGCTAATTAAATTAAGAGATAATGTTAAGGAGATGATTAGCATAAATCATCTTGTTTAATGCTAATATAGTTCCTATTTTAGCTTTTGTTGTGCTAGGTGTCTTCGAGTCCTTTTCAACTCACAGTGGATCCGTGTGGCAGAGAACAGCCCCATAGGCTTTTCTCGACTATAACCAAGTAGATCATCTGCGGAGCCACTGGGTAAGCTGAGTCTCTAGGCTTTTGATCAGCGGCCAGCAGTTTCACCACTTATGCCACCAGGGCCGCTTGTCCCTACTTTCAACAACTCAATTGTCTTGGCTCACGACTTCGAAGTAACTCATAGCTGACCCTCCAGTGAGTTTTTAGAAGCTGGAAATCACACAGGAGGAGAATGTTCATCTTTCTCCCATAGAGCAACTGGTGGATTTGAACCACCTACCTGTGGACTGGTAAACCCAAGTCCCTACCAACTAGGCCACTAAAGCAGGAGACGTGGTGGAAGCAAGGCAGCAAAGACTCTATGGCAATGAGGTGGGGATGCAAACCTGGTTAATCAGATGAAAAAGCCTAGAGTTTCTATAACTCCCAAGGCAAGAAGGAAGCCTCATGAAGGAGGAAAAAAGTGTGGAGAGAAGAATAAAATAAAGGGGGCAAAAGAATAAAAGGGGCTGACAATAAGCAACACTGGGGAATGAGATTATCAAGGAGATTCTGGTAAGACAGCAACTTGTAAAATTCACCCAAATTCTCACCTCAAAACAATAAGCAGCAGAATAAGAGGTGCACTGCAAAGAAGACTAGGGGCTGGGGTAGGTTGTTGTTGTTATGGTGCCATTGAGTCGCGACTCATAGTGACCCTCTGTAGAAGAGCCCTAAACCCTGTTCTATCTCGTGCCAACCTTACTGTCTCTGCCATACCTACCTCCACTACCCCAGTTACTGCTAATCCATCTCATCGAGGGTCTTCCTCTCCTGCGCTGTCCTTCCACCCTCCCAAATATGATGTCCCTCTCCAAGAACCAGTCCCTCCTTGTAACATGTCCAAAGTATGTCAAATGAAGTTTCAGAATCCTTGCCTCCAAGGAGCAGCCAAGTTTCACTCTCTCTAGGATGATCCTGTTTGTTCTCGCAGCAGTCCAAAATACATACACACACATATATATTCAACACTCTTCTCCAGTACTATAGCTCAAAGGCATTAACTCTTTTTCTATCATCCCTAGTCATTATCCAGCTCTCTGATACATAGCAAGCAACTGGACTATGGCCTGGATCAGGTGCATCTTGGTCTCCAGACTGATGTTGTTGCTTTTCAATACTCTGGGGAGGTCCCTGATAGTTGATTTTCCCAATGTCTCGATTTCCTGGCTGCTGGTACCAAGAGTGTTGATTGTGGAGCCAAGTAAACTAAACTGTTGACAATCTCCATTTCTTCACCATCCATAATGATGCTGCCAATCGGCCCAGTGGTGAGAATCTTTGTTTTCTTGATGTTGAGCTTCAATCTATATTGAAGGCCGCAGTCCTTGCGCTTCTGCAGCAAGCGCTTCAGGTCCTCCTCAGTTTCAGAAAGCAGGGTTGTGTCATTTGCATAACGCAGGTTGTTGATGAATCTTCCTCCAATCCTGGTGCCACATTCCTCCTGATACAGCCCAGCATACCAGATGATCTGTTCTGCATATAGATTGAAAAAGTATGGAGACAGAATACATCCCTGGTGGACACCCTTCCTGATTTTAAACCATGCAGTGTCTCCTTCCTCTGTTCTGATGACTGTCTCTTGGTTCAAGATTAGGTTTTACTGAAGGAATTGAAAAACAAATTTAAGCCATAAGTGGCAATACTTCAGGATGCTTTGGGCAAGAAACATTAAAAGAAGATATAAGGAGTATACAGAGCCACTATACCAGAAGGAATTGGCTGACACAGAAGAATTTCATGAAACAACGCATGAGCAAGAGCCTGTGGTAATGAAGGAACAAGTTCAAGTTGCTCTGAAACAACTGGCAAAAACAAGGCTCCAGGAATTGACAGCATACTAATTGACATATTTCAACAAACAGATGCTGCCCTGGATGTGCTCACTAAGTTGTACCAAGAAATTTGGAGGACAGCCAGCTGGCCAACTGACTGGAAGAGATCGATATTTGTTCCCATTCCAAAGAAAGGTGACCCAACAGAGTGAGAATTATTGAACAGTATCTTAATATCACACGCAAGCAAGATTCTGCTGAAAATGATCCAAAAATGACCAAAACAACATGTCAACAGAGAACTGCAAGATGTGCAGGCTGGGTTTAGAAGAGGCCATGGTACTAGGGATATTATAGCTTATGTTAGATGGATCTTAGCAGAAAGCAGAAGTACCAGAGGAATGTCTATCTGTGCTTCATTGACTATGCAAAGGCTTTTGACTGTGTGGATCACAACAAGCTGTGGCTGACTCTGAGAAGAAGGGGGGAAGGATGCAGGGAGGTAATTGTGCAACAATGAATGAATATTTTAAAAAAAAGTGAACTGGTGGAATGGGGAGGAATGGGGGGGTAAAAATGTACAATGAATAAATGAAAATCTAATTTTCTGTAAACTTTCATTTAAATCACAATTAAAATTTAAAAAATGTATTTAAAAAAACCCCCAGCAAGCAGACAGCAGAAATAGAGGCCCACAGAAAACATAAACTATAAGACCAGTGGACAAGATATGGCCTGAGAATTCAAGATGGAAGGGCCAGACATCATTAGCATACCTTCTTACCAGCAACATCTATATGAGAGGTAGCAGAGAAGTGCAACCTGGCTACAGAGAAAGTGGAAGACAGATTTCAAAGGAGGCACCTGGGGAGTGTTCACTGAGAAGCCCAGGGGGTCGATTTGACAGCAGCAGCTAAAGGCAGAGAGGGATTTACCCCCTTGACTAACAACGAGCACAACAACAAGAGTTATGAACTGGCAAAGCTGAGCTCCAGGGATTAAAACTCATTTCACAAAATAACCCTTCATCAGTCTCCAATAGTGTTAAGGTCAGAAAGTAAAACCCCTACTAAGGACAATTTCAGATTAGGTGGTCTGGTATATAAAGAGTCGCACCGACAACTCAAAAGCAGGCAGCTTGAACCCACCAGTTGCTCTGTGGCAGAAAAGATGGTCAGTCTCCTCCTGTGTGAGTGACTTTTAGCCTCTGAAAGTCCACTGAAAGGTCAGCTATGAGTCAATGGCAACTGGATGATACATAACAATACTTCAGATCAAAGGAGACTAAAAAGACAGTAAGGAGTCCTAGTAATGCCATGGTCAAAGTATTGGGCTGCTAATCAAAGAGAACCATGGTTAGAATCCAGCAGCCGCTCCTCAGGAGAAAGACATAGCAGTGCTTTGCCATAAAGAGTCACAGTTTAGAGAGCTCTTTAGACCCGTTCTTTTTGGTCTTAGAGGGTCACTATGAGTCTGAATCCACTTGATGGCGTGGGTTTGGTTTTTGAAGTTTAAGAAACGTCACAACTAAATGCAACATGATGGATCCCTTTGACACAAAGAACATTATTGGCTCTGCTGGTGAGACCTGAACAGGGTCTAGAATTTGGAAGGCAGTAAAATATCAGTCCTGGCTCTTCTGGTTTTACTGCACAGACACACCTGGTGGTACTGTTCTTTGCTATACTGTACTCCACAGATGTTCTATTTCTTACAGCCGGAAGGTCTGTGGCAGTCTTATTTTGAGGGAATCTGTCAGTGCCATTTTCCCTACAACATATGCGTATTTTGTGTCTCTATGTCACATTCTGGTAATTCTAAATATTTCAAACTTTTCCCAAAGGTTATTGCACACTTCATAATCTACAGCATAGTGTCAATGTAACTTTTATATGTGCTAAGAAACAAAAAATAATCTATGTGACTCATGTTATTGTGAGAATCATGTTATTGTGATAATTGCTTTATTGCAGTGGTCTAGAAGCCAAACCTGGAATTCTCTCCAAGGTATACCTGGGACAGAATCTGTGGTTTGTAGGCCATACACACAGAGGGGGCAGGGCATGTTATTAGCAACATACTCTTGGTTAAAGGCTCAAAAAGTTCTTTGCACTGGTCTTGCAACTGGTCTGTCGATTTAAAATTATTTCAAAGTGAAGCAGGCAAGCAAAACAAAAACAGCAAACCCACAGCCGAGCCTCTGACTTCTCTATCAGAACAGAATCCTGGGACAAGGGAAACAGAATCAAAACTGACCAGGACAAGCACAAAAAGAGATGAAAGGAGAAGGTTCAAGTAAAAGTGAACTAACTCAGTCCAGTAAGGACAATACTGCATAAAACCATTATTATAAAAATAGAAGGATAACTAGTAAAAGAAGAGAAGGGACGGGAGCAGAGGCGTGATGACGGTAGTAGAGAAATTACAGGATTGTGCAATTTGGTGGGTGAAGTGAGGGGGTAAAGGAAATGGAAAGATCTGGCAGGGGTCTGAAAACATGGGGTAATGATAGGCATAGTCTAATGGTGATTAATTTTATAAAACTTAATGCATGGGCAAGGCAGGGAGGTTAGAAGCAGATGGGTGAGGATGTGCAGGGGGATTAATTATGGGGTTGTACAATTTAAAGGTGGGGGTGAGGGAAATGGGAAGGATCTGGCGTGAAAAACAATGTATTTGAATTTTGTAAATAAACTAGTATAAAAAAGAAAATCAACAGTGCATCAGAATGATTGTATAAACCACAATGTGAATGAAGAATAGTATTAAACACAATGTATATGAACTTTAGCAATAGAAAACAGAATTTTTTAAAAAAAAATAGTGGGAGAAGGAACAGGGCCAGTCCTTCAAGAAACCTCAGAAAGAGATCCAAGATGGCGGTGGAGGCAGAGACAACGTGGTGAGCTGCAGGAGCAGCGGACCACTTGGAAAAGGGCCATTATGACCCTCTACAGACTTCTGTTTATTGATAATTGAACAGTTAAACAGTTGATGACTGGTCTTCAGTGAGGATTGAGGCTCAACAACAGGAATTCAAGGATTTCCAAGGAAGAATGGGTGAGTGCCACAGCTCCCAACCCCCTCCCGCAGAGCCCACACTGCGCCTCACCGCAGCTGCAGCTCCATGAAGCTCCCACAGCCGGAACCTATGGAATCCCTCGCCCAGGATGGAGGGTGGGCACCGGGCCTCCCCAGGACTGGTGCAGTGGAGCTGCCACACTGCAGCAAAGTGTACTTGTTCTGAGGAGAATTCTTAAAGCCAAGAGGACATTTGCCTCCCGCGTGTGAGATGAAGCGCAACCGCCAGGCGCCTGTGTGGGAAATGATGTGCAGGAGATGGCTTGCGCTCGCTGGCCACCCACATGGAAGATGGCATGCGCCCAGCGGCCGCCCACACGAGGAGATGGCGTGCGCCTGCCAGTCGCCTGTGTGGGGGATGGCACACGCCTGCTGGCCCACTGACCCACTGACTGCCTGTGCACGAGATGACGCAAGCACTCCAAGAGATGACGCACACCCACCGAGAGATGATGCGAGCCCTCTGGTCGCCTGCATGCAAGATGATACGTGCCTGCCGGCTGGCCGCCCACATGGGAAATGACACGCGGGAGATGGCGAGCGCCTGCTAGTCACCTGTGCTGGGGGATGGTGTGCACACGCTGGCCGCCTGCACAGAAGAGATGATGCGCGCCCGTGGTAGGGACGTGTGCCCCACTACCTGCAGGTTTGGGTTTCCTTGGAAAACCAGAGAAGATGATCACCCATATAATGGATTGTTGAAAGTCACTGTGAGTTGTCTACTTGATGACACTTAACAGTGGCAGCATGTACAAGAGGATCAACATCCTAAATGCACCACATATTTTTATCTATTGAATGCTTCTGCCAAAAGATGTTTAGACCTGGGGGGAGCCAGCCTGTTCACAATTTTCAGATTCTCTTTGCATTTATAAAGGGTGAGGGAAGTGACACCTACTTCAAATTATAGCATGACCACTTATGGGGGGTGTAAAAGTGGTGGTGCTGGAATTGGAGATGCTGTCCCCGGCCACACACTCCTCAGTCAGGTGAGGGCACCAGATTAGTGTGGGGGCAATTAGAGGGGAGTTTACCAGCCAGCCCATGGGGGGTGTTGCCCTGCTCAGGATGGGTTGTCTTCAGCCCTCGGCTCGGGGCGAGCCATCATGGCCCTCTGCCCGGGGCGGGCTGTCCTCGGCCTTCAGCTCGGGGCGAGCCATCACGGCCCTCTGCCCGGGGCGGGCTGTCTTTGGCCCTCGGCTCGGGGCGAGCCGTCATGGCCCTCAAGGTGAGCTCCTCAGTCCCCAGATTGTGCCATCTGACCCCTGGGTAGGAAAAAAAATCCCTAGGGTATCCAGAGAACTTTATCTAGGCTGCTTTCTGTCACCCTCTCCCCCAGTAAACCTGAAAGCAACACCCCCAAAACCCCTCTATTTGTAACTCACAAGTTTGTTCTCTCTAGGTTTGCTCCCTTTCCTACAGGTAACCTTACCACTGAGTTTTACTTCAGACCTGACCCCGAACCCAGTGCAGTGGCAAAAAGGAAATACAACTGACAGCTAAAGAAGCAAAGGAGGATGGAGTCTCTGGGTTCAACCAGCCATCCCCACTGGACCCACCTGGGAAAACACTTTGCAGTCCAGAGGGGAGCAAATGACAGGAAAACATCTTCTAAGAGAACAAGAAGGCAAGCAGCTTTAATCCAAGATCACCAGTAAGGTGATAAAGTGTCCTCCCTTTCCCCCTTCACATCTACGCCCCTGTTCAGCATGAAGAAGCCAGAGAGTCGGCATCCAGTTACCAAATCAGTAAGACAGTTGATTTAACTACCATTGGAAAATGCTTGTCATTTTCCTGTAGCATCTGGTCCCCACTGGACCCTCATCATTTCCTTCACCTGCTCCCCCCACCAACCAATTTCTGCAGCTCTGCAACTGCACCCCTGCCCATCCTCACCCTTCTGCCCCCAACCCTCACCTCCTTGTATCCCCAATTTGTTTTTTCCCAATAATAATAATAATAATAAAGAAACCTCAGAAAACCAGCCACCATGCTGTTGAGCATTATGCAAACACAACACAAGAGGGCGCCCTGTGGAGCCATCCTGTGCCACACTCAATCTAAGGGTTAAGGAAATCTAATTTTGTGATAGTACAGTCAGTACCAAGGACAATAAGCAAGGGAGTGGACAATGGAAAAGGAAGGAATTGGCCCGGACTTGGGGATGGGCTGAGCTCTGAATTCCACAGCCCTGCCCCAAGCTCTGCCAGGCTGTTGTCACTCCCACTCACCTGATCATTTGCTGTGAGGCAGGGCAAGTAGGGCAGAATCTCGAGAACATCAACGCAGTGGAAATGGCGGTGATTGTGGCGGATGTACAGATAAGTCTGTTCCTCAGCATACATCACTGCTCAGGTTCTGAAGAGAGAGGGCTCTACCTCATGAAGGGTGGATGGAGAAAGGAAAAGACTGGAAAGAAACAGGATAAAGGGATGGGGCTGGAGTGAGACAAAAGTAAATTCTTTCCCCCTCAGTTTTCTGCAATGTCCGTTTTAATGAACACATCCTATTTCTTGATGGTTCGGGTCCCAGAGAACCTCAGTGAATTCCTTGTAAAATTAATCAATGAACAAAAGCAATTCATCTCAGAAGATAGAGTGCCCATGTCTACCTTCCTGGTTGCTCCGTGCTGAGGGTCTTGGCTGCCTCTGTCGTGCCCAGGTGCCCTCTGCATGAGACCCTCATGGCTGTGCATAAACTCACTGGCTCCCCTCCCAGCACCAAGGTTGGTGATAGGAAGCTTTGATAGGAAGAGCTTCACCCAGATGTGCTGCTGCTTTGGGGCATTTTGGGGTCGGCAGGGGCTCAAGATGAAGATCATAATCGCATCTCATCATTCTAGAAATTAAGAAAATGATGTACAAAGATCTTAAAGGAATTTCTAGATGGTGGAAGCACAAAGAACAGAGGTCTTTCCTTTCTGGGATCAGGTTCTTCTCAGAACACAGCTGAAATTTGCTTAACCCAACACACACGTCCTTATGGTAGGGTTCTTATCACCCTAATGTCTGGGTGCCCTGGCTCCTCCTCATGCTCCCATTTAAAAAATGTCTGAAATACAAGCAATTGTTGCTGCTTACTTTATGTAGCACTCACTCACCACAATTTTGTAACTATAGATGTGTTTTTGCTCATTTCTAATATGCCTTACCTGTCAGGAAGTGCTACAGAGGATGAGAGACAAGACTTCAGCTATGACTCAACTTATGTTCTTTCGAGGTGGGACAGATAACACATATGTAAATAAGACTTCCAGACAGTAATAGATGCTAACATCAAAGACCCTGAAGAAGAAGATGCGCTGGCACCAGGTTTTTAATAAATGAAGTCTGAGATGCTATTTGATGCCAGGAATTGAAGGAGACTTGAGAGAGGGCCAGGCTGGGATAGAATCAAGTGGCACTTGAGCTGGTAGGTGAGGCATGCTTGGGTTAGACTTCTTGTATTGCAGAGCAGAGCAGATCTAAAAGCTGTTGAGGCAGCCAGGCTCTTGTCACACAGGAAATGAGGTGGCAGTCCTATGTACTGCCTACACCTCTGTCTGCCCCCAGGGGCTTTACTCCTGGTGGCTAAGGAGAGATCAGGAGGATCTGGTGATGGTCCTCTGAGGACTGAGAAAAGAACAACTCTTTCTCCTTCCCTCCCCATGATGGCCAGGGAAGGGTCTGGAAGGAATGAGCCAGATGCCTCTGCTGTACTCCAACTTCTGTTCTAAAGGTCCTGGGCCATTAGAGGGGGGATAGGATTGGACTGAAGTGGTTCAAAAGAGAGAAAGCCCACTTTTCTTCACATTTATTAAGGCAGGTACTTCTTAAGGTTGTTCTTCTTTTAAATCCTTGCTGCAATCCTTCAACAGGGAGCACTGCTGGCTTAGTGGTAAAGAGTTGCACTGTCAGCCCAAAGGACCCTAGTTCATATCCACCAGCTGCTCGTCAGAACAAAGAGAGGCAATCTCCTCCTGTTTGACTTACTGTCTCTGATTGCCTCTTGGATGAGTTATTAGAAAGTTCTGACTGCAAGATCCATAAACAACACAATTCTTCAAGAGAGGAAGTGAAACCAAATTGCACAAGTGGTCAGAGACAAAGATGGGATTTGAACCAGGGTCTTCCTGCCTCATTGTAGTTCACAGCACAAGACCCTTACAGCCCTTGAGGCTCACACAACCCCCTGGCTTCCTGCCCAGGCAAAGACCACTGTGCTAAGTGGGAGGATGGTCACCAAGGTTCTGGGAGAGTTGTCCAATGTCAATGACTTCTAGTAAGAAACACAGGCTTTCTGCTGGTATAATAAATTATATGTTTGGAATGCTAACTGAAAAGTCATCAGGCAGTTTGTTGCTGTTAAGATTTTGGCTGTGGAGACGCAAGAGAAGGTTGTATGACTCAGAATGGACCGGTAGAGAGTGGGTTGGATTTTTCTGTTTTGGGGAGAAATGTGTATTTTTTAGAGCAGGCCGGTGGCATTCCAACCCTGATCTCCCCTGAGCACTCCCTTCACCCCACTCTCTGACTACGCGGTTCACACAGGGACGAAGAACCCACACAGGGACTAAGAGTTTTGGTTTTCTCCACCATATTTCACCTCAGAGGCTGCATCTGGGAGTGTTCTGGGTGCAGCTAGAAGTTTCCGACAGCAATGCTCTAGAGGCCCCGAGGGAATTCTGGGGGAGGAAAATACCCAGACATCGGGGAAGGGCGAGGCCTCACCCTCGGCTCCGGTTCCTGGGTTGGACCCAGGTCCCCAGAAGGGACAGGCCAGTCTTCCTGCAAATGTCACCGCCAAAGCGCAGCGGCGGGCAGGAGCACTCGCCCCGCTCCCAGCCGCCGTCCCCGCCGTCGCCACCAGTGGGCGCGCCCGGGCGCGAGCTCACGGGGGTCACCCTGGGCCTGTGCGCCCCTGGGGGAGCTCTGCCGTCCCTTCTCCTTCCCCAGATCTCTTCTTCCGCCCATCTTCACCTCCAGCTGTAGCGTCCAGCGCCCCCGTCCCCGGGTCGCCCGCCAACCCCCTGTGCCCCAGGACTCATTCCTCCCCACCATGCGTCCCGAGTCCCCGCGCGCCCAGGCCTCCAAGCCCCTGGGAGGACCCCACTCGGCCTCGGCCGCCGCAGGCCTCCCTGGCGAAGGCGTCCGTGCACCCTGGGCACCGGGGACGGCGGCCTTACCTCGGGCAGCCACAACCCAGCGACCTGCAGAAGTCGGGGCAACCGGAACCCACCGGGCGGAGAGGGAGGGCGCCGGGGCGGAGGCCGGGCCGCGCGGCCATTGGCCCGACGGCAGGGGCGGGGACTTGGCTTCCCAGGCTGGGCTGTCTGCTCTGTGTGGGCCCTGGGAGAGTGAATTGCATGCCTTGCTGCGGCTGCGGCTGCTGTTGTAGTTAGGAACGGTCAAGCCAAGAACGACGCTGATCGACCCTAGGAACAGCAGGTCTGAGCCCTGTCCGCTGCCGTCCTCATCATCCCTTGTGTCAGTCCATCCTTTTGACCGTCTTCGTTCATCACTGTCGCTGACCCTCCACTTTTCCAAGCATGATGTCCCTCTAGCTATTTTAATAAAAGTTAGATAAAATTTAATATTTAATTTCCCACCGCTTCTGGACACACTTCAAAAGGTATTAAATAAATAAAAAAATAAAAAAAAAACAACAACCACAAAACCCCAAAACACAACAACCACCAAAAAACAAACTCTGGACAATTTTATTGAAGAAAAATATTACACAATTTCTTTTTTCACCAGTCTGTTTTGGCATGTTCTAATGATAACAGAATCACCTGGATCAATGAAAGCCAGTGTGCATATTCTGTAGTGTTTTCCACATGCGGTGCCCAGTCAATATTATTGTTGTGTCTGTAGTGATGGACACCAGTTTTGGCCAACGCGGAGTAATAATTTCAGATTTCCGCCTTTTTCGCTACCATCTTCTCACCTTAGGTGTGGCCAGCCCTCCACCAACAACTGCTGATGAAATAGCTGGGGAGAAATTAAAAAATGTCAAATGCTATTTTCTTTCTTTTTCAAATATTTTTTTTTAATTCTTCGGCCAAGACAGCAGAAGAGATGATTTATTGTGCACGTGACATCCAACCACAACTAAGCAGAGTTAGTCCAGAATATCACAGGTCCAGGGCAACAGATCAAAAGGGCCTGGTTTTGAAGGAAGAAAGTGGGCCTCTCAGGTGTTCGTGGTGATAGAATGGCGATGGATGTTCTAGATCCTTTGAGTTAGAAGTTCTAGACAGGAATATGCGGTCCAGTTCATATCAGCGTACTCAGCCTGTGGCATTCTCTCCTCCTGCCGCTGTGGTGTCCACGGTGCACACGCACACGCTCACGTTTACGCGGACCTCTGCCTCATCTTCCTTTACGCTTCAGCCTGTGCATTTGCTTTTTCCTCTACTTGTTCCTCAGGGTTCGGAGGTCTCGAAAAAGATGGTACTAAAGTAGAAAAAGTCAAATGCTATTTTCATGTGACCGATGATTATTGTCAGGGACCTCTCCAAAGTCCTGAAGAGCAATGATGTCAGTTTAAAGACTAAGGTGCGCCTCATTCAGGCCATGATCTTTCCACTCGCTAGCTATACTGTTGAGAGCTGGACAATGAACAAGAATAACAGAAAAAGAATCTATGTCTTTGAGTTGTGATGTTAGAGAAGAGTACTGAATATCCCATGGGATACCAGAAGTACAAACAAATATGTCTTAAAGAAGTGCAACCAGAGTGCATCTTACAGGCAAGGATGGCGAAGCTTTAACTCTCATACTTGGATGATTTTGTTAGGAGGGGCTATTCCTTGAAAAGGGACTCAATAAGATAGGTTAGTACAGTAACTATGGCAATGAGCTCAAGTGTGTTGGGGATGATAAGGGTGACACCGAACAGGGCAGGGTTCAGATCTCTTGTTCATAAGGTCACTATGAGTTGGCACCTAACAACAACGGCTATTACAGGGGAACTCTGGTGGCATAGTGCTAGGGACTTGCACTGCTAACAGCCCCTGGTGGTTCAAATCCACTTTACAGGAGGGAGATGGGCAGTCCTCTGTGCAATTTACAGTCGCCTGAAAACTCACTGGAGTTCAGCTATGAGTTAGTTCCAACTGGAATACAAATGAGTGAGCTGAGAATGGCTTTTATGCTGGACAGCACAGATCTCAAATTTAGAGCATTTCTATCCTGTCAGGACATTGTTCTTAAGTGCATTGAGGGGATCGCTCATTTTTTTCCAGTGAAGGGACTGGGTTTGAACTGCCTGCCTTAAGAATGGCAGTGCACCTCCTTACCACCAAGCCACCAGCACTCCCTCAGGGATTTCTACTGGGCAAGTTAAAAAATTCTATTGAAAAGCGCTGATCTATAGAGTAACCCTCCAAAAATGTCAGTCTTGAAAGGCAAGAAAGATTGAGGCACTATCGTGGATTAGAGGAATCACAAAAGGCAACACAGCAACCTGCAGCTTGATCCTGAAACCCAACTACATCCTGTGCTGGATCCGAAAACAGAATAAGGATGTTGGTGGGATGACTGAGAAACTCAAGTGAGCCTTTTGGATTCATTAGTAATATTGCATCTGTATAAATTTTCTGGTTTTGGTCAATGCAAGAGAAAAGATTTGTATTTATTTTGCAGCTGTTTGGCAAGTTTGAAATTATAGCAAAGGGGGTAAATGAAATTTTAAAAAGCATTTTTTAACTTACCTGGCCATTTTTATTATCTTATGCCTTATTGTTTATTGCATTTGACCCTATTTCATGATCAGAATTCATTGATGATTGTCCATGAATCATGGAAGAATGAGGGCAGAGCATGATTCATACAAGTC